GAAAGAAAGAGATGAACAAATTTAAACAAAGGGAATGGTTGTGACAAAAATGAGTAGGATTAATAGTGTGTGTGCGCAGGTGCATTCTGCGGGCAGACGTGAGTACATCTTTAAGCTTTGCGACCTAAAAGAAATAGGCCCCTAAGCTCCATTTAATGACGCTAGTAAACGCCGCAAATTTACTCACTTTTGCATGAGAGAACACGCCTGAGCACGCACTAAGTCTTGATAGCCCGCAAGACGGAAGATCAACTCATATTCAGTGACAATAACAATAACATGAAAAGAAAGGAAAAAGAAGACAGCTTGGAAAAGGTAGATGAAAAGCGAAGCAAACTATTGTAGAGACTTGAGAGAACGTCGGGTTGTGAACCAAGAACAGACGAAATAAAGTTTATTTGCAAGCGCATCACATATATATAATATTTTACGCTTGTCCACATTAATAATAAAACAACATTAGTATAACTGGACTACTTTTGCGCGCAGGTGTCGTGTAACTATAGTGCGGTCAAAAATTCGTGGCTCAACTTTTCCTCAAATATCTCTTTAACCGGAGAATCAATGTCACCCATACTTTGCACAGCAGTTTGTATTTTAAAAAATGGTCTTAACTGAATTATATTTTTTCACAACAATTGAGGCTCGATCAAAAAAGATGTTCTTCATAAATTTATATAAAATACTAGGCCTATAAATCTCCATCATCCGAAAAATGTGATTGTTCATAGCACTTCCCGCTTCTCTCACACATTTTGCATACGCATAACATGTCTTAGCTCGCCAATTACACTTTTTCACATTCTTTTTACACTAAAGGTTTCCTAAACATACGTTCAATAAGCATGCATGCTATTGCGATTGGAAAAAAATGACAGACTTGCTTTTAAAAGCAATATTGCCTGAGCTGTAAAAAATTTTTAAGGCCGGCACTATTTCTCCGAACGTTCGGGAAAATAAAGCTGGGCACTATTTCTCCGAACACTCTGAAATCACACCCTTTCCCGCATATTTCGGATAATAAAAATAAAATATAGATCTATAATTATATTATAGGCCTACCAAAGATTGTTCGTATACAATATGGTTCAATGGGTCCAAAAAATGTCCGTATTTATATAAAGAAATGCTACAGTTCCAAACAGTTTTTCGCTACAGATATGACGTGTGGCCTATGGAGGGTGCTGCTCTTAAACTTAATGTGTTGCGTTCACTCGTGAGCTGTCTAGATCTAGATCTATGGAGGGTTATTGATAACGACACATATAGCTAGCATCTGCGTTTGTCGAGGCCACGACCAATCAATCGTGGCTCGATTTTTTGGTCCCCGAAAAAGTCAACAAAAAAAAAAGAAAATGAACCTCTTTACTTTTGAAAGAAAGTTCACTTAGCTTCACTTCGTCTCTTTCTCACTTGTTGTCACCACGTTGATTTGTTGAATACGTTACAGTTACATACGATTTGTATTGCTGTTCCTCTTTTATTTTTTGTTTATTTTTCCCTCTTTGTGGTGTTATATTTTGTTGGTGTGTATTTTTTTTTCTTGATGTGTTGTTTTTCTATTAATTTTTTTTGTTGGGGAAAATGGGGGGGGGGGGGGGGTTTGTATAGTGTAACGTCATTTAATTTGATGTTTCTACAAAAGGTATTGTGTAACGTCATTTAATTTGATGTTCCTACCTTCATTAGATTCTAAAAAAAAAAACCCGCTAAGATTTTAAAAGGGCAAGTGAGAAAATTTCCCCCAAAAAAAGAACAATGGGTTGAAACGGGGGGGCCCCCCGGGGGGGCTAATAGATCTAAACCCAAAAATTTGCTCCGTTTTTTTAAAAATGGACGATAACCGTCCACTCAATAGAAAAGAGAGTCAGATTTCTCCGTCTCTCGGGTGCCTCAGGCAGTACCCGCCTCGCTAAACCAGTGGGCACACGGCCGGAGGAGAAGCTGAGAACAGATACCACCATTGATTTGCTCCTTCCCAGACCTCGCAGAATGACGGAATGAAAGTTGGCGCCGAACTCTCGCAAATAGGCAAACAATCACGACCAGAGCGGAAGCCGGAAACCGTTCGGAGAAATAAAGATCGGCACTATTTCTCCGAACGTTCGGAGAAATAGTCACTTCGATTTTTTAATTTGTAGAAACAATCGACTGGGATTTTTTTATCTAGAATAAAGTGTTACAAACATATGAATAACCCCCTCTCACAAGCTGATAAGACATTACGAGTAGTTACTACGCCCATTCGAATAACCTTTCTGGACGCTCTTACTCTTGTTATTATGAATGACCTGAGGTTCAAAAGGGGATAATTTAGGTCAATTTCCGAATGTTTTACACTCAAATTGTTCTTTGTACCTGCACATTGGTATTCAAAACTATCAAACAAGCTTATTTTTTATCATGTAGTATCATTTCATACAAAATCAAGCTCATTTGAAATATTTCGTATAGAAAAATGGGCGCTTTTTCGGTAGTTCCCACCCCGCAATTGTTATTCACGGGTTTTGGCCCCAAGAGTAGGGGGGTTTCAGGGGGGCTTGCCCCCCTGACCTAACAAAAATAGGAAGGGGGGGTTTCAGGGGGGCATGCCCCCCTGAATTTTACAAGAATTTAATGTTTTGCTGTTGTTAGGTTTGATATCTTAGCTCACCGCGAATCAAACGTATAGATCTAAATCTAGAAGTAGGTCAGGCTCAAATAAGGGGGGTGGGAACTACCGAAAAAGAACCGAAAATGGAAGTCTTGTTTCCTGACTATCCTTTCGAGCTCCTCATGTCTAAAGTGGGTCAATTTCTTCTATAATTTCATTGGACG